CAGCAAATAACCCTGTAGCGAGAACAAATGATTTATTACTTCCAATTTGTTGCACCAAAACTTATCAAGAAAGATATCTTACTGTCCCATTCCGATTCGGATACCTCTTGAATATGTTATAGACTTATGGAAAAATAAGATATACGTATTTTTTATCAGCGGAAAAAACATGTCTGAGGGGTGAAATCAGGTTGAAGGTGTAATCGACTTATACTTCCATGCAAATAATAAAAAATATATAAAATGTATCTTGCAACACTTATTAAAGGAAATATTTTAACGTTTGTTTCATTTAAATTTAAAAGATAATGGCTTCTATAGAAAACTGTAAAATAAGTCGATTATATCTCCAACTTCGGGATCTGATTTCACTTCCTAGTTCTTCCGGCGTCTGCAAAGCTGGCACGACGTTTTACAAATTAAAAAAAAAACAATAACAGTTCTATTAACACTTTTCATAGTTCTAGAATTCTAGAAAACAAAAAGAGTTCCGCATTTTTAATATCGAAAAACAGCAAATGAAAAATTGTCGTGCTTAACTTCGCGAACCTAGCACGACACTTCCTCTGTAAAGTACAAGAAGTAAATAAATACCACTACTTGTAGCAAGAGTTCCCGTCAGTTTTGATCAATTTCTATCAAGACGTTGAATTAAGAAAAAAATTTCAACAATTACGCTTTTTTCATAAACTTCGAATAGTTCAACAAGACACTTTCGAGAGAAAATATCACACAGATCATATCTGATTCTATTGATAGTTTTCGTTAATTCTAACAGAGTTCTAGTTCCTACGATTAAATTTAAGAAAAGTTCCGGCGCGGCTGCCTATTTTTAAATAATTTTTTAATCTTTGAAATTAGTACGATATTCTCAGAAAAAGTGTCGTGCTGACCATTTTTCGTAGTTTTATCGACAATTCTCGTTAGTTCTAACAGAATTCTAGTCCCTACGATCATACGTGCTTTTGCTCTGATAACAGAGGGATTTTTCTCATTGCGATCTCGTGTACAATTTGGATCTCGTGGGAAGAGAGATTTACTGGAAAAATACGTGTAATTTAATGAGAAACCACCTGAATTAAGCAACTTCGCCATGGCTAGAAATTTGCTTTCGAGACATTAGTTTTTTTTCCAGCTCCACTTTTCTAGCTCGTTAAATCGCGGGCTTAGAGAAATTACTAATTCATAGTTAGACATTTGAGCTTTTCCCAAGAGATAGTGTTATGGATCTCGTCGGACATTGACGCGTGGTAGCGTAACGAGATTTTTCAACGACGTGTCGTCGTTTTGCGCGTTTTACGCGCGAATGTGCCCGCGAGTTTTCGCAAAGCGAGTCTCGTTATACCGCTCGCGGCACACGGCAACGCAATGAGATTTTTCGCCGACGCCGTGTATATACTACTTGCCGGGGACTTGCATAATGTTCTATTTATTGCACTCCCCCCGACCGCAACGTATAAATAGAATTAATTCTATTCCGACTACGAGAAATACACTCTACTTGCGATCGCGACTCGCGATTGCCGATATCGACTCAAAAATCCGCGCGTGTAAAGGTTACCGCGAGACCTTTCGCTGAAATCGTCGAATCGACTCGATGATCTCGAAAGACTAAGTCAAAATGCAAATTGTACTGTCCAACATCTTTTTCTGAATAGGTAAAACATATTTTCGCGAGACTCTTTGAAGAATGAAGTGAGTCGGAGCGAGCAGGAGAGTCTCGCGACATTAAATTCGTTCGTATCGTGGAAGATACCGCGAGACGCCCGACGTTAGCATTTAACGATGCATTGCTTCGCATCTCAGCGCCGTAGAAAGGACATTGTCCTTTGGGCATCATTAAGGCGAGAGAAAGGCGATTCTTCGCGGAGGAAATTTCGTAAGCGCGTTGATTTTCCGGTGGATCAATTAGCCTCCGCCCCCGCGATGTACTAAATTCCTCTTGCCAGTTGGTTTCTATTTATAATCGCAGATCTCAATTACGCAAGCTTCACTCGCGTAGCCGCAAACGTGATTTTCCACATTTTCGCGTTAATTTTTCCCGTGGAAGCGCGCGTCTCGAATTGTTATGCTATTCTGAATGGGTGAGAAAAACGCGAAGGTATACGTGCGCGGTAATTCGAGATTGATACACGTTACGTGAGCACGTGGAATAGCTCGTGGAGCGTGCGCGCGTCCATCGTTGATCTTTCACGCGTGCCTAATCGCAGGGCTTGTTGACTGCAATTTCCAAGCTTTTCCGGAAAGGTCGAGGCCGCAGTCGCGCGGCCAACTCGCGAATGCCTACCTTTCTCGACCCAGCGAGCCTTCCGTAACACGGGAATTACGCGATTCTCTCTTTTTCTCTCTCTTTCTCTCTCTCCCTCCTTCTCCCCCTGATCTCTCATCGCCGAATCGCTATCGCGAACGTCTCGCGAGCTTCACGGTTGCTTCTCATGACTGTCTCATGCTGTTGACTGAAGAGGACCAGCAGTTGATCGAAATGTATTTTATATGTATTTTTATATCATAATGAATACCAGATAACTTGCCCGTCCATCGACGTCAGGCTCTCTTACTGACCAATTTATAATTTAAATTTGTTATTAGAGCCGGTTCTCATATTACCATCTCATTCTATTCTATTTGATCGTAAAACGAGAACAGGAAAGACCGATCGATATCGATTGTGATTGTCATGCATTGTCAAATCAAGCCGGTAAAATTGCACGTGATAAAGGCAGAAACGGGCGCAGCACACCTAAACAATTACGCTTCGTACTGTTTGCTCTGCATCTATCATGCTTGACACATCGAGCGTCGCCTCGATCTCTCGCAGAAACACGATGGCCGGGCGTGGCAGTAAGAAAGCGGCAAGAGAGCAGCGGGAAAGTGATATCTCTTCGCCGTCACTGTTCCATTCAGGGGCGAATCGGATCTCGCAGTGCCCTCGCGATAGCTTCATTTCAGCCATTCGCGCAGAATGGCCAAGAACTCCTTTAAAATTCAAACAATGGTGAAACTACTCTATCACTTTATGCCGTCAGGGAATTGACTATGATTATTCTCGAATTATTCTAACGAGACATGGCGATATCTCCGCCGACGTGTGAGATTTTTCTTTCGAAATCGTAATGCTCCCGACGCGTTCCCGTCGCGCTCGTTCGCCGCATATTCGATGACTTCCCCCTCCGAGCACTTTTCGCATTTCACCGGGACCTTTTGCCGCTTCATATACGACGTAACGTCGCGCATTATTACGTAATTTTCAAGTTTTGCGCCACCGTTCGAGTGAAACGTACGACGAGGCGTCTCCCTGGTCGCTTTCGAGATACTTTGTCCCTTTCTAAACGATTTCTCGAATTCTGTTCGGTAAAACGTCCGGTTTGATATAACGGAGAACTTTCTGCGTTAAAGGGCAAAATAATACATCTGATTAGATCAATGTTACAAAGTATCAGTGCTTGCATTAGAAATATCTCCAAGTTTATTCTTTTTGAAATATATATAAGTATATATTCCGACGTTTTTGGTATTCTGTGAAGAATCATTGAAAAAGAGAGATTGCATACGATTAAAAAATTTATAATTTACTATTTTGTAAAGTGAACAAAGCCACAAAGTTGCTCACTTATTTACGCGATTGGCATGCAATCTTGAGTCCGTTATATGATCATTATATTACAGCACCAGCGCGACGCGATTATATAATATTGTTGCACGATTATATAGTCATTTGTTTATATAATTGTTACACAGCACTCACCACCTCGTTTTACACGCGCTTGAGTTTTACAACTAATTCAACACACAGACGATACGTATTCATGTTCGAAAGATATTCCAATGCGCGAGAAACCTTTTTTCTTTTTGTCTGTCTTGCTCTTTCTCCTTGAGAACGTATTTTACGCCATCGATTTTTTTCCCGTATGCGCGACCAAGCGCGAAATTCCGACCGCGAGGAAAGTTTGAAAAAGGGTCGCTGCTGGATTGGTCCCTCCGTTGGTGCCATCTTTCCTTTTTCTCTTTCTCGTTGTCGAACGTGAAAACGAAATGTATTCATACGAGAGATCACTCGTAGGACATTCCACGACAAATATGCCCATCCCGATTATTATTATTAACATACTGTTGAGACAGTCGAGAATGAAAGAATCCGGTGACGCATCTCGGAGATTCAGCGCCCACGCTCATAATTTAGCAACGAGTACTCCGCTTCACCAGGCATTAAAGTCTCCGAGGTATTGAAATCCCCAGTCTTGTAATTCACGTTACATGATCAGAGCGCCTATCGGTCTGGCGCGAATATTCCGAAGTCAGAGATAGTTCAGAGATAGTTTCGAGGGAAATTTATCGCGATCTGATCTTACGGAGGCGTGAAAATTAGGACGAGCCACGCGGCGTTAAATACTAGTTATAGTTACGATCCAGTAAGTCCTCTAAACGGCGCGATAGGATTATTTTGCGGAGAAACGAGAGGATCATGCCTGAAGAAATTGGCAGAGGCGCGTGGAGCGCACGCTCTCTAGAAGCGCACAAAAACATCGTGTTCCAATTACGATAAATCGAGCAGTGGGAGCTCGTTGGCCTTCTCGACGAAGCCAACACGTGTTGAAGAGATGTATTCCGTGACGACACATTTCTCTACAACGATCGCGCTCCAATTCTCCCCGATGTGATCCTTTGCAACCACCACAGTCTGTCCTCCTCTGATCTTCTTCCCGCTCGCCGTTTCTTCTTCGGCTCCCGCGCGTTCCTCTTACTCCTTGTGGAGAACCTGGTGAACGTGGAGAGCGCGTGCTGCGATCTCGTGACTTCGATATAAAGCTTCTAGATCGCGTGATTCCCTCCTTTACTACCGACGGAAACCTTCTATAAATCTTTTTTTCCTGATTCCTTCCTCCGGTGAAGCTCTCGAGTCAGCTCCATTTTATTCGCGCGCGCACAGCTTTAGATTTTAATTTATATTTATAAAAAATCGTAGTCAAAGAATTGGAGGGTTGAAAAATAGAACACAGATGGAAGTTTTAGTTTATATTTATTTACAGCTTCAATTATTCAGCTTCAATCAAAAGCTTCCGCTTGGTTTTCTTATCGGGCAATACATTAATGAGCGAGTGCGATAACTACACAAAAAGAAAGTACTATTATTTACGATATTTGTTCATTAAACTTTATATCTTATTTAATCTAAATAGCCCTTCGATCGCTGTCTTCAACGACGAATTATTCCCAGACTCGTTCGCTGTTTATCCATTGTTTCGTATCGAATAATATTAAGATTAATCGATAAAAGTGTTGATTAAAGGGCATCTTAGCATAGCAATAGTTATTTTATTGAAGTTGGCTCGATGCTTAGTACAAAGCGTAGTTTCTAAGGGGTTCGTCGATTAACTGAAACAGAAAAGGGAATGTTTTTTGTGTCCTTTTTGGTCGTTGTGTTCTTCATAAAACATATAAATTATATCGCAAGAATCAGAATTCATAACTGAAATGAAAAATTGCGTGTCTTACCATTTGGCAACGCTGAAGGGCCTGCAAGAGTCTGAGGGTTTGTCGTACGAGAAGCCCGGCGAACACCTCACCATCTGAGGTCTCTCGTTCCTGCAGACTACCATATTGGTGCAAGCCTCGTTGAGTCTGTGCACGTCCCCATTTTTGCACGGAGCATTCATCAGCTCAGATGGCACCACCTGGAAGAGATTCCAGGGGTTCACCAGACTCGACGTTTCCGTCACGTCCTGCGAATTAATTCCGAGTGGTTGGCCGTTAGCTTCTTCCTGCTTGAGTCGTTCCTGGTCGATTTCTAGCTGAGATGCCGACGGTCGTTGATTCCAAGGATCCGGATCAGCCTTATTCAGCCAGGGATTTCCGGGATAAGCTGGGGGTGGTGGCGGATAGGGTTGCGGTTGATAGGTCGGTGGAGGAGCATAGGTAGGTGGTTGAGAGGGATAAGTAGGTGGCTTCGTGGGATACGTAGGAGGCGGATGCGAAGGTGTTTGCGGAGGTTGAGTCGGCGGATGTGGATGTTGCGGTTTTGGCGTGACAGCTCCTTTACAGTCCACGTTGTACGGATAATCGCACACATCCACCACCTTAAAGAGGCAAAGAAAAAAGAAAATCTCGTCGAAAGCAAATTAATCGACACTTACGTTTGTAAAGCGTCTCTGAAATATTAGAAATACTTGAAATATTTCGTCGAAACGATTACAGGACTCAGCGTCGAAAATTTGACTCGTTTTATTTGAATTTGCGCCGTCATACTTTCTGTAGGACTGCCAGAAAGGATAAAAATGAGACGGCAGACGTGACGCGTCATTCCGCGATTTAAAATTCCTCGAGCGTGCGAGTTTTTCGGAACAAATTCTTACGTCATTGTAGACCAGACCGCGAGGACAGGAAAACTTGATGGGTCTGCCTGTGAGACACACGTAGAATTCTGAACAGTTCGTGGAGCTTCTGTAGCGGCCGTTCGGATCCGGGCACATTTTCGTCCCTGGCGGCAACGGCGGTTCTGTTGAACGATGGGATTGTTATTTTTATTATCATGATTTCGCGAAAGTATAATCTTTTTTTTTAAACACACATTGAAAGAAAAAATGACCGATCTAATTAAAATTATAGTTATTTTTTGTCCTAATCATACTTTTTGGTTGTTCCAACACGAAAATGGTAGTAGTCATTTCATGATAAGCTAATTTGGAAAACGGATTCGTTTTTAGCATTTAAAAATCTATAGGAATCATTTACACTAATTTCAGTGTCATATAAATTTAAGAATTTATGGATTGTAAAAAATGACCAAAATAGCGGTTTTTTAGAGTTTCAATCATTCATTACTCGAAAATTTGAGATGATAAAGTCATTTGGAAAGCAGACTCATTTTCAGCATCCAAAAATCTATAAAAAGTCGGCTTATTAGTTGTTGTAACTTTCAGAAAATTAAATTTTGTTGGTCTGTATAATCGATATTGTTATTAGATTATCGTAACTCTCTGACACCCCTCCGCAACCCCGTTCTTAGCTTGCACTCATTCCCGAGATAATCCCGCTCTGAGAACCACTGATCTAACAGATGAAGTCGATGATTAGAAGGCAATCGGATGGGCTCTTGCGATTGCCTGCGGACCATGAACGAGCGATTCGAGGCGCGATTATCGATCACTCACTCGGCGTGGCGGGAGGCCGGTTGCCGCAGTTGACGTTGTTGCTGAAGTCGCAGACGTTGGTAACGTCGTTGAAGAGCAGTCCGGCCGGGCAGGTCTGCTCTACCACAACATCGTCCCAGCAATTGAGGTAGTTGGCGCAGCTCTTCGGGCTCGGGTACTGGCCCCGCGGGCCTAAACAACCCGGCGCGGGGTGATGCGGAGGCGGCACAGGCGAGATGGGACCCGGCAGTTCGTTCGTTTCCCCGGGATTCGCCGGAAGGCCAGGGTAAAATTGTCTGCCGGTATTGATCTCCTCGTGCTTCTCCGACGCGTTACTCTTCCACGACTCGGAACGACTGTCCAGTTTCTGGATGTCGTAGTTGTCCCACAGAGTCTCCAGCTCTGAAATTTGACTTAAGGTTCTCTCATCCCGCGCAACTTTCGTCATCACTGATGACGGTGGCGTCTCGTTTCCGTATGAATTTTCGTTGCTTTGCTTACCAATCGTTATTCACAAAATTTATCTTGTAATTATTTTTTATTATTTTTAATTATTTAGAGATGAGAATATTCGACAGTAGTTCCAAAGAAAGACGAATTGGAAAATCGAAGATCTCTCTTGGATGTCTTTATATTATTTTGCCGCGTTTCCCCTGCCATAAGGATGTCCACGTAAAACTTGATACTCCCTCACAAGGGAACCTCATTTTATACTTTTATACACTTGGATTTCAACTTTTTTGATTTATTCGATTAAATGGGTTTATCTTTTTAAAATATTTTTTGGTAACTGCTTTTTTGTTGTAAATTTGTAATAATCGGCAAATCAGATAAAAATATCGGGACCTTAAGTGGACAGTACCTCCCTATTAAAATCCAGCATTTATTATATTCTTCTAGTTGTTTAAAGAATTAGTCAGACACGATCCAAATGTAAATCCGAGTGGAGAGTCGAATTGACTGTATAACTCATAAATACGTACAGAGAGCGACACAAACAGTTGTTTTTTTTTGCAAAATGCAAATGTGCGGCGCACTACTCACTTGAGGTTTCAGAATTTTTACTCAATTTCTCAATTTGTCTTAAATTATTGCGATTACAAAGAATGGCTACTAGGAAATATTTAAAGAAAAGCTTAACTAAGTAAATTCAAAAAATATAGAATCTGAGTGTTTGACTCGATGAGGTTCCCTTGTCAGTATCGTCGCGTTACTGATCATGCAAGAGCATGTCGCGAAAAATCGAGCCAGCCGATCCTAAAGTTATTGGCACTGACCTTCAGACTGTCCGGCGAAGCCGAGCTGTCTACCGGCGAACGACACTGGTGTCGTCATCGTCGTGGTCACCGCTGTCGTGGACCTAACTATCCTCCTGGCCGCGTCAACGAATCCTACAGCAAAGACTGCAAGGACCAGTAACACTTTCACCCTCATCTTCTTCTCGATATATCTTGCTGGTCCTTCTCTTCGTCCTTCCCCTCGTTCTCCTCCTCGTCTTTCTCTTCACAACCGACGACAATCTTGAGGGCAGTCGACGCCCTCCACTAGGACGAAAGATACTCTCTAAGGACTAAGTTTCCAAGGGTGTCTTGCTCGCGTGATCCGAATCGTGATAATCGACGCCAAAGCGACGCGAGTCCTGACGCGCGGTGTCCTGATGCTGGATGAGCTGGACCTGGTCGCTTCCAGGGCCTTACATAGGGCGGCCCCCACCAGACCTGCGGTCTTGTAGGGACCACAGGACCTCAATTACTCGACGATTCGCGTAGGACCCTCTTCTTGCGCAGGAAGTGCTCGCCGCGTTCTCGCGACCACTTGTTCCCTCCGCCTGTTTCCCCCTCGTATTCTGCTCCCTCCTATTTCTCGTCCGAGGACTTCTCATTGGACGGGATTTAGGATGCACCCGAAGGATGTACGCGCGCCTGCGACAATCGTTCGTCCTGCCAGCGTGCAGAGAACTGTTTTTCGCCGGTCGTGCGTTTTAGGCGCTGGATATTGTTACCGGGTGAATTTAAGATCTTGACCCAGCGAGGTCGGTGTTTTAATTCGTTAAACACGCGCTCCGAAGGCCCCACCGAAGTCTTAAAACCTTCATCTGAGACATTCGGTAGACTCGGCAGGCTTAAGAATGGTTTTTGTGCCGGCCGTAATTGCTCGTTATTGGTCTTGCTTCTTGGAAAGTGAGAAAAGATCATTAGGGTGTGAGTAGTGCACTGCGTATAGTCTGCAAAGGTCTCGACGGTTTCAGGACCTCTCGTCGACAATGACTACGTTTACACGGCAACGTTAATTCGGATTAGTAACAACCGTAGTTAGTGAATTCTTGGATTTTATTGGTATATTCTTTTAGATCTAAAAATGTACTTCAATCGGATTCGACAATTCACTAACTTAGATAGTTACTAATCCGGATTAACGTTGCCGTGTAAACGTAGTCAATGTTTCTCGTTGCAGACAGGTTAATTTATTCTAATGGTGGAAAAACAGAAGGTTTCAGCACAACCTTAGATAGAGGTTCATTGTCGTTTTTGCTTTTTGATTTTGCTTTCTGCATAATGTAAAATGTTGCAATTAATACTGATTTTAATCATAATTAATATTAATGTTTATTCAGACATTGTTCTGGAGATTGCTCTCTCTTATACTTAGTCGTCAGTGTCTACGTCGCGCTTTTGTCATTACAAACCCCTAGAAATGACGACAGTACATCGCATTATTTTCCACATGAACACAGTCAACAGTGAGACATGTCGACTGTCACGTTGAAAAACGATGACACGCACTCGCGAATTTCATTAGCTGTCGTCACGCGACTTTTCAGCGACTCGCGCGCCTACACGGAGCTTCCTGCGGCCGGCGCAGTATCCTGCGGCAGTGGAAAAAATTCCACACCTGCGAGATTCAGGGGAGAGCGGGGTGGGTAGCATCGGTATGCAAAGGTGGACGCACTCTCGAGGGGACTCGTTACGCACTCGTTACCGAAAGTGTCCCGCGACACCGCGGGTCCTGCACGGATTCTGCGAGAGCGCCGGTATGTAGGAGGCTCCCCACGGGGCTCATCGTCCTTTTTATTATCCGCTTGGATAAGAGATTCGGCGGGTCCGGCAATAAGGAAGAATCCAAGCCCGATTCGAACGTAAAAGGAAGGAAAAAGAGCAGGACGAGTAGGAAGAGACGGTCGCGACCCACGTAATCCTGGAATCCGCCGAGTTCTCGGTCCCGCCGAATCTCACGGATAATCCTGAATCACGCGTGACCTCGCCATCGCGTTCTTCAAGTAACACGTCCCGCGAAATGTCTGAGGGCTCGCGTAATCGTGCGTTTTTTTCTGTCACACATAACATGCGTAGATCTTTGGAAGACGCGAAAAAGGAAAAAGTGTCTCGCGCCAGACGTTAATCTGATTGTCTCCGACCCAACTCAATGTGAATGGAATCTTAAATGTGTCAACTTGTATATAGGATTGGTGATTTCATCAAGAATATCGACTGATTTTTCTTTATTTCTAAATTGAATATTGGTTTGTTTTGCGCGGGATTCGAAATCGATGAGATTGAAGTTGACAGGGCGTTGATAATTTTAATGGACGCTCTCACAGTACTTGCGCTCGCTGACGCGATGACATACAATCCCGCGATCAAAGTCACGAGGATGTGACACCTGGGATAATTCTCCGTCTAATCTTGCCGGCCGATATTTATATCGCGCGCGTCTGCTGAAGCCATCATCTCGGTTTTTACCGTCGTCGTCTTCATCGGCCTCCAGGCCAGCCAAGTTCTTGTCTTTGTTTTCTCGGTTCGCTCCGACCTCAGACCACAGACCATTGTAGGGGAACCTAGGATGGAATGTCGACAGGAGTGAGAAACGAGGCGGGAATGTTGGATCAGTGTAGCGCGAATAAAAAATAATCCCCTAACTAGATCGTCACACGAAATGTAACGAATGAGGCACGACAAATTACATATAATAAATTACATCAAAATACGTTACACGTTACGCTCTAATCAAGATCCTATGTTGATCCGCTGATTCCTATTCTAATTCTCGACGAAATTAATTTCGATCCGACTACGGAACGGAGAATCAATGAAATTTAAGGCAAAATTCTATAGTAAATTAAATTTTATAGTAAATTTTAAAGTAAAAATTTTATAGTAAACTTTATAGCAAAATTTTATAGTATATTTTATAATTTTTTACTATAAGATTATATATATAAAATATTTTATAATAAAGATTACTGTACAATTTTGTAATCGAGAAAGAAATCGATATTTTGTAATAATTGACTATTTTTTTATTTCATATGTATTATTTATATTTTAAGAACCAAAATGTATTATTAGAAAATTTGTTATATTTCTATCGAAATTTTTTATGTTCCTTAGCAGGACAGATTTTTCTGATAGTTTACTTTACCGACTGATAGTCCTGCGCTTATTAGAAGCACAGTAAAATTGAAAAGAATTTATATGAAAAGAAAATAATAATTTCTCCACATATGTCTGAACATAAATCATTTGTTGAATTTATATCGGACGTAATTCGTATCTTAATTACATTATTACTCCGCGTTACAAAGAAGCTCAGGCTCAGTGAACCTGAAAATTATTTTTACCTTCACTGAATGACACTGTCGATAACGTACATAATGTTTTTCGTGCGCGGCGCTGAAGCGAATGTTAAATTCCGCAATAAATCCAAAGTGCCTTACACGGCACACCACTTAAGTCCAAATACGAGGGCGATGCCTTGGTCGAGGAGGCGCTTAACATAACATCCACAAGGGCCAAAACTTCCCTCTTTCTTTCGTTCTTGTTCGCCCAAATATCGACAAAGATACCTATGACTAGAAAAATTCGACTAGCAAAATGCAAATCAGATAAAGTATCAAAGGAAACACGAAAGACCTCTTTCCCTCGTCAATCGCTTCTTGCCTTGGTAACCAGTGCTGGGATTCTGTTACTCGTTATTGGAGTTAACGACAGTTTCGTTATCGTTGCGCAACTTTTGTATATCGTAGAAAAGTTGCGCAACGATAACGAAACTGTCGTTAACCAAATTAACCAAATATCTGGTCGAATATGAACGGTCAAGAAATTCCGATTGAAGTAACCCGAATTCTGTTTAACAAGATTTTTGGTAGACTAACCAAACATGTCTGGTTATTTAATCAAAACATGTCTGGTTAAATAATCAGACATGTTTGGTTAGTCTACCAAAAATCTTGTTAACTTAAACAGAATTCGGGGTACTTCAATCGGAATTTCTGGATCGTTCATATTCGACTACATATATTCGGTTAATTCAACCAAATCTTTTTTTCCGTGCTGAATCCCAGCACTGAAATACGCGTTTTACGAACATTTTCGTACCTCGGTCGATACTTTCTCCGAACGGTGTCTGCCTTTGATAGAAAAGTGTGACATTTTTCTAATATTTTCTAATATGCTAAATTGCTTTTTCTAATATCAGCTCGTGATATTCTTGCTCACGATTTTAAATGGTGAATTGCGACAATCCGCTTCGTCCGGTTCGTATGCGCTTCGCTTGCGCAACGCGACTCGAGGAACAGGTTTGGGTAACGTCCAATGTTGTGTTAAAAAGCAGGAACCATCTGAAGTGACGTTAAAAATGCAGGCGTCGCGCCTTGATACCGCAACGCTCATTCGAATTCATTTCGAGTGCGCGCGGTCGGCGCGTTGCGACCTCAAGTACGCTCGCAAGAGCCGCGCTCTGACGTAGGTGGTCTCTGTGTCGCTACTCTTACTCTTTCTTCATAATTCAGTGCGCGACGATAGAGTAAACCGCGGAGGGCTGCGAGCACTTAACGCACAATCGTCGGAAACGCTGAAAGCCCAAAGCTGCCGCTATCGCCGTAAGTAAGTGAAACGCACATGAAACGGACGGATTCCCGCGATTATGCCAATTGCTTCCCGGAAATCTTTATTGTCATTCGGATAACGAGAAGCAAAAGTTACGCGCGATTGTACGTTTTATTTTAAATCGCATCGACGAGCTCCGGAATAAAATTATCTGTCATACAAAATTTTTTTCCCGATAATAATTAATTGTAAAAAATAATTTTATGCGAGAATAATTCAATCCACATGAAATACATTTCGAGAAAAATGAAGATGAAGATTTAATATATGATTCAGAAAATATAATTAGCACTAAGGTTCTCTCTCTCTTCACAATTGTTCAAGAAGTCAAGCATAGTCAATTTTCTTCTCTTTAGTTGTATTCACTGACAAATTTAACTAAAAAATAAAGAATGAAAGTAAAAAAGACGCAAAACTAGTAGAAAATAAAAATCGCTTTTTGATTAATTTTAGAGTAGCTTATAAGGTTTAGATTTTTTTGTTTTAGGTTGACGTCTAGACTACTCACATTATTAACAAAAAATAAAAAATTATAATTTTGTAGGTTAGATTGCACATTCTATGACCAATTAGCAGCGTATTTATCTGGAATAAATTCATTCGAGATGGTAGATTTGGGGGAAGTAAATTTGGTAATCTAATTGGCATGAGAAATATCGATGATTACGTATCTCGCAACGTCCAATTTCTTTCATATCGTAAATGTTCAATTAAAAGACCTCTTTACATGGTCCATACAGAGATATTTGGGACGCGCATTGCCATTAGTTGCATTACGTTTTTACGCGTTGACATTATCGAAAAGTAAATTTTATTCAAGCGGCCAGACTAAGACGCCGCCAAGGAGCGGGTTAAAAGGCGCGCTTTGGGGGAGCGAAATAAAAAAAAGCGTGCAAGACCT